TAGTGGCACAGTCAGACAGCATGCATCGGCACCCGGGGTCAGCCCGACAGCACGCCAATCAACGCATGCTGTGTCCACCACCAGAATGCCGTCATTGCAGAGCTCAGCAGTGTGGAATTTTTTGTGTGTGTCTGCCTCTGACAACAGCGATGCCATTTGCAACCTGTGCCAAAAGAAACTGAGTCGTGGGAAGTCCAACACCCACTAGGTACAACTGCTTTGCGTAGGCACATGATCTCACATCACAAACGCCTATGGGATCAACACATGAGTACAAGCAGCTCGCCTACTCTAAGCCAGCCAGCCTCCTCCTGGTCCAGCATCTTCAGCCACGTCAACCACTGCTGTCCTCCTTGTCCCCTCTCAACCATCCGCCACTCCGCCTCCCGCCTTTGAGCAGTTCACTACCCTTCCCACAGAAGTCATGTGTCTGTCAAGGACATGTTTGGAGCGTGAAGAAGACAATGTCAGAAACACCCCCTGCTCCAGCTGCCTGACCGCTGGCTTGTCCTAACTATTAGTCCGCCAGCTTTTACCATACAAGCTGGTGGAGTCTGGAGGGCGCTCAAAATTTGTAGCTATTGGGACAATCGCGAGTGGAAGGCAAGGTACCCGGTCAAATTACTTTTCACAGAAAAAGGCAATCCCCAACCTGTACTTGATTGTGCAAAAGGAAGTAATGGCATGTCTGGCACACAGTGTTGGGGCAAGTGTCCATCTGACCACTGATACCTGGTCTGCAAAGCATGGTCAGGGCAGGTATATCACCTACACTGCGCATTGGGTAAACCTGCTGACTGCTGCCAAGCATGGAATGCATGGCTCTGCAGAGGAGTTGGTGACACCGCCACGACTTGCAGGCAGTCCTGCTGCCACCTCTCTACTCCTCCTACTCCATCCTCTTCCATAACCTCGTCGGCTGAGTCCTCTTCTGCTCCACATCAACGGCACCCCCTCAGCTCCACATCCCGGATACGGCAGTGTTACGCCGTCTTGGGTTTGACTTGCTTGAAAGCAGAGAGTCACACCGCACAAGCACTCCTGTCCGCCCTGAACGCACAGGTGGAAAAGTGGCTGACTGCGCAGCAACTGGAGATCGTCAAAGTGGTTTGTGACAACGGAACAAATTTGTTGGCGGCATTGAAGTTGGGCAAGTTGACACATGTGCCGTGCATGGCACATGTGTGTAATCTGATCGTATAACGCTTTGTGCATAAGTACACAGGCTTACAGGACGTCCTGAAGCAGGCCAGGAAGGTGTGTGGCCATTTCAGGCGTTCCTACACGGCCATGGCTCACTTTGCCGATATCCAGCGGCGAAACAACATGCCAGTGAGGCGCTTGATTTGCGACAGCCCGACACGTTGGAATTCAACACTCCTAATGTTCGACCGCCTGCTCCAACAAGAAAAAGCCGTTAATGAATATTTGTATGACCGGGGTGCTAGGACAGCCTCTGGGGAGCTGGGAATTTTTTTGCCACGTTACTGGACGCTCATGCGCAATGCCTGTAGGCTCATGCGTCCTTTTGAGGAGGTGACAAATTTAGTCAGTCGCACCGAAGGCACCATCAGCGACATCATACCATTTGTTTTCTTCCTGGAGCGTGCCCTGCGAAGAGTGCTGGATCAGGCCGTAGATGAGCGTGAAGAGGAAGAGGAAGAGTTGTGGTCACCATCACCTCCAGAAACAGCCTTATCAGCATCGCTTGCTGGACCTGCGGCAACGCTGGAAGAGGATTGTGAGGAAGAGGAGTCAGAGGAGGAATGTGGCTTTGAGGAGGAGGAAGAGGAGGAGCAAGACCAACCACAACAGGCATCCCAGGGTGCTCGTTGTCACCTATCTGGTACCTGTGGTGTTGTACGTGGCTGGGGGGAAGAAAATACCTTCATTGACATCAGTGAGGAGGAGGAACGGGAAATGAGTAGCTCGGCATCCAACCTTGTGCAAATGGGGTCTTTCATGCTGTCGTGCCTGTTGAGGGACCCTCGTATAAAAAGGCTGAAGGAGAACGACCTGTACTGGGTGTCCACGCTACTAGACCCCCGGTATAAGCAGAAAGTGGCGGAAATGTTACCGAATTACAACAAGTATGAAAGGATGCAGCATTTGCAAAATAAATTGAAAAGTATGCTTTACACAGCGTATAAGGGTGATGTCACAGCACAACGGGAATCTAACAGGGGGAGAGGTGGAAGTCATCCTCCTCCTCCCATGACCACGCCGGCAAGGACAGGACGCTTTAGAGACTTGTTGTTGATGGAGGACATGCGGACCTTTTTAAGTCCTACGCATCGCCACAGCCCTTCGGGATCCACCCTCAGAGAGCGACTCGACCGACAGGTAGCAGACTACCTCGCCTTAACTGCAGATATCGACACTCTGAGGAGCGATGAACCCCTTGACTACTGGGTGTGCAGGCTTGACCTGTGGCCTGAGCTATCCCAATTTGCGATAGAACTTCTGGCCTGCCCCGCTTCAAGTGTCCTGTCAGAAAGGACCTTCAGTGCAGCAGGAGGTATTGTCACTGAGAAGAGAAGTCGCCTAGGTCAAAAAAGTCTAGATTACCTCACCTTTATTAAGATGAATGAGGGATGGATCCCGAAGGGACTGACACTGGGCGATACATTAGATTAAAAAAGGCCTGATGAGATGAGCTGCCTTGGGCTAAAATGGTCCACACGCTGCTGTATTTTAGCTCTGAATGCCTGTTGACTTGCGTGACTGATCCGCCACCAACTAGGTTTCAAGCCGCCATCTTTTAGGGCACTTTCTGCCTGTGAAACAAACATCAGTTATAGATTGAATAGCAGTTAGTTGTCTCAAAGCGGGTGTGTCAGGCTCACAGTGGATACTGTGCCCAGTGCCACCACTCACTCACTGGTGTCACAATAGCTTGGATTTAAAAACAAAAAACTTTTTTCACTGTTATAGATTGAATAGCAGTTAGTTATCTTCAAGCAGGTGTGTCAGCCCTACAGCGTGTACTCTGCCAGTACGCTGCCACCTCCTCTACTCCTCCTACTCCATCCTCTTCCATAACCTCCTCGGCTGAGTCCTCTTCTGCTGCTGCGTCTTGCTCCACATCAACGGATAGGGGACGTAACAGTGATTAAACTGATAACAATAGTACTAAACACACCACTCCTATCTGGTGGCACATTAGATTGCACGCGCAGTGCTCCAAATTTGTTGTGATCTGTGAGTAAGGTAAACGGTTGTCATACAAGTAGGTTGCAGCTTTTTGAGGGCCCACACCACCGCTATGCACTCCTTTTCAATGGCAGTGAATATACTTCACTGTGCAAAAGTTTACGGCTTAGATAAGCCCCGGGTTGCTCGCCACCATCTGCTCCGACTTGGCTCAGTACTGCTCCCAATCCAAGCATAGAAGCGTCTGTATGGACGAGAAAGTGTTTAGTTGGATCAGGAGAAGAAAGTACAGGTGATTTAATGAGCGCCGTCTTGAGCTGTTGAAGGCCTGTTCACATTCTGGGGCCCATACTACTATCTTGGGGAGGTTTTTACACGTTCCTATATGGCACTTACTGGGCTTTAGGGTCAGTCCGGACTCCCTAATCCGGTCTATTACGGCTCCTATGTGGGTCAGGTGTTCGGGCCAGGAGCTGCTAAAAATGTCTATGCCTTCATCCAAGTAGGTGTGTATCAGTGTGTATCAGGGATCCTTAGGACAGGTGTCAATCCATATCTGCCAAGTGACCCTATGTAGGAGTGAACAGTCCCTATTCCTGCTCTGTGTCAGTGTGTACCGGCCCCGGAGTGACAGGTGTCAATCCATATCTGCCAAGTGACCCTATGTTGGGGCAATATCTCCCCTATTCTGATCTGTGTCAGTGTGTATCAGGGGCTCGAGGACAGGTGTCAACCATATCTGCCAAGTGACCCTATGTAGGAGGAAATGGTCCCCTATTCTGCTCTGTGTCAGTGTGTATCAGGGATCCCTAGGACAGGTGTCAATCCATATCTGCCAAGTGACCCGATGTAGGGGAACAGTCCCTATTCTGCTCTGTGTCAGTCTGTATCAGGGATCAGGGATCCTTAGGACAGGTGTCAATCCATATCTGCCAAGTGACCCTATGTAGGGGGACCAGTCCCTATTCTGCTCTGTGTCCGTGTGCATCAGGGGCTCTGAGGACAGGTGTCAATCCATATGTCAAGGTGTCAATATGTCATATGTCAGGTGTCAATCCATATTCATTGTGATTTAGGAATGTTAGGTGATTTCTGCCCTTTATGGATTAAAACCAGACTCTGTATCAACTGTGTAATTTTCCATGGGAGTTTTGCCATGGATCCCCCTCCGGCATGCCACAGTCCAGGTGTTAGTCCCCTTGAAACAACTTTTCCATCACTATTGTGGCCAGAAAGAGTCCCTGTGTGTTTTAAAATTCGCCTGCCCATTGAAGTCAATGGCGTTTCGGGCGGTTTCGCCGGTTCGCGAACATTTGCGGAAGTTCGCCGTTCGCGAACCGAAAATTTCGGGTTCGCGACATCACTATCTACCAGTTGTCTATATTGTACTAGTTGTTGATCTGACAGACATGTATGATTAAAAAAAATAAGAAATGATCCCAAGGCACACCACGGTTTTGCACATAAAAAGAGTATTTATTCATGCACAGAAAATACAACAAGATATCATTATAGCAGAGAGAAAGTACATAGTATAGTGCTAAACCAGTATATAATACCAAAACCACAATGTATACATGTATGTATCTGGTATGGGAACAGATTCTCTTCCTTTAAGAGCACCCTGTACCTTATAAACCACACACTTATTACCCATTTTGCATTAGAGCTTTTCCTGTAATTTTATGTTTAGACATGAATGATTCCCACTGACCAAAACATTGTCTAATTTTTAGGTGCAAGAAAACTACAACAAAGACTAACTATATAATACATAAAAAGTAATATATATATATATTACTAGGCAATTGCTTTTGGGCTGTTGGATGAGGATTGGGCCGCTAGTGCTCCACAGCATGCCTCCTTCCTTGGTCAGGACGAACCATGTTAATTTATTCTGTTGAAAAACCCCTGAAAAATGAATAATAATTTAATACAGATGGTTACACAATGAAAGTGTTTTATACAGAACCAATAGTGTTAAAGTACATATTACTAAATTCTAAGTACAGCATATTTTACAGCAGGCAAACAATTGTGAAACGAGGTTTACTCAGTTAACATGGCTGAACTTCAGAACAAAGATAAAAGAATGAGTATGGGGAATGACTCTTAGAAAGACTGGTAGGTGATTATGGTTTAACCTTAAATCGTGTGAAAGCAGTGGAGTCCTGCTTCACTGTACCAATAGAATGATTCTCATAGAGAAGCATTGTCGATCACTTTAAGCAAGAGTTTAAAAATAAGGAAGAGCTCCCTCTTATTCATCTTCCAGCCATGAGGATGCATCTTAGGTCACTAATAAAGTGTCTCCCCTGAAACCAGTACTTTATAAATGAAGGACACTCTTAATACTCCTAAGTTCCTTATTATCGGTTATATCACTCACTACAGAGTCCCATACTGCCTCTGGAAGCAACATCAGCACGAGAGCTGTGCATTGGGAGCTTTATTAGATGGTTTTCCATGACTGAGCAGATGTACACAAGCCTCACAGCAAGAGGCGCAATGCCAAGCATCATCTGGAGTAGAGCAGTGGAAAGGTCATTGTGGCGGAACCAGCTTTGCCACTGGGCATTGGAGAAGACTGATTTCCAGCCTCCTGCCCTGTGACTATGGCCCCATGTTGAAATGCTGGATTTTCCCCTGCAAAGACCCGAAAGCCGGGTCATTCAGAACTTTCCCTATGTGAGCAGTGTTATCCCAGATAGCTATGCCATGGAGCCCATTCGTATAACGAAAGACTATGTGAAAGACTTTGGCTCCATGGCAATTGAACTGTATGTATGTGATCTGAACGCCATTCAGTAATAAATTGCGCTCAGATCTAAGCTATCTGGGGATATGTACCTGTTTTATGCAATAGCTGCACAGTTATATATTTTTATGTATTTTATTGTATTTTGCAAGCATGTGGCTAATGGAGTTTTGCCTCTGTCCTTGGAGATAATTGGATTACTTCCCAATTATCTCCAGGATAGAAGACTCTGTGGAACTGGTTTTGGGCAGAAAAGCCATGCTTCATTTGGTCAAATAGGACTTTCCCTTAACTTTTTAACCCCTGAACCGATTGCCCTGATTTTTGAGTATGTGTATATTTCAAGCATGCGGATTCTGAAAATGTATGTTTTATGTGAATGGCATGTATATTTTGGAAGTTACTAATATTTTGTAAAAACTGTATTTCTCTGCCTGTGATAATTATATTACCTATTGTGTTCAGTAATCATATCACAGGCAGAGGGGAGGATTTTGTGTGGGAGTGTCTCTGTGTATTGTACGGATTGTTTGGTTGTGTTTCAAAACCCTGTGGGCAGTACTATGTTTGTGGATTGTGAATAAAAGAGGCTGTATGTGCCAGTACAGTCAGTTCTGCTTGACCTCAAAACGAAGTGTCGTCTCATTATTGGGGGAATTGGATTGTATGCTGATTGCCAGGAGTGTAAGCTGATTGTATGCTTTTCCTGTTCAGCTGCTTACAGCATTCATATGCTTGAGAGCATTCGTATGCTTCTCCGGTTCAGTGGTTGTGGTGTCTGCTGCAGTGCTTGGAGTCCTCAGGAAGCACTAGGAGCATCCTTCAACGGAGGTACCCAGTCGGGGTGTCCGTCGATCCGTTAAAGTCATCTCTGGAGTGATATGTCACACCTTGCTTTCTGGCAATCTGATGGAAGAATCTGGTTGTGGAACATGCCAGGAGAATGCCTCCTACCAGAACGCATAGTGCCTACTGTAAAGTTTAGTGGAGGAGTGATAATGGTCTGAGGCTGTTTGGTATAGAAATACATTTAATTCAACTGGGTGCTCCAACTATGACCTTGATTTAATATTGTTGATACGTTTTCCAAGTGATCTAATATATATTTATTTGGAGAAAAAAACTATGGAAAATGTACCTAACAATATTAAATCAAGGCCTTTGTGGCAACAGCATGTAGAAGGCACCTTCTTGCTCCAGCGTAGTTGTGTCCCTATGCAGAAAGCAAGGTCCATAAAGACATGGTTTGACAAGTTCGATGTGGGTCCTGCACAGAGTCCTAGCTAAGCATATACATCTATATCAACATACTTTTGGCCATATAATATATGTGTACACACATATCCATATAATATACTTATTAAAACTTACCAATAGAATAATTGTCATGCAAATAAGGACTGGAATTTGCAAATGGCCTGGGATTTCTGAAAGAAAAGAAATAATGACCTTGCCAATTTCTTTCCAGATGTGCTCTAAGGGTTCAGTTACAAAGTCTGTAAATGTTAGGGCTAGTGCCTGAAAGAGATAAGATCAAGTCAATATCAGTATAAATGATGTAATACAGTACTGCTTAACATGGCTGAGGTAGAAAGTACCAGCAAATGTAAATATTACAATACGCACATGAACATGATCTCGTCCATAAAATTATGATCAGCTTTAAGCATTGGCAGTTACAGTAGGTCATAAGCTCTTCAACCCATATGTGGAAGCCGGAAGCCTTATCTGACACATACAAGGAACTAAAGCTGGCATATAAGTAGTGTTACAGGATGACAGTATGTATATTAAAAATGCTAAATAATTTCACAAGTTAAATTAAAGAGCACACAAAGGGCACAATTAAAAAGAAATAAAGCAAAATTGCTAGCCATGAAATACAGAAAGGAAGACATTCAGGGTCATTCACTAAAGTTGCAATTCAAAGTGAATTAAAAATGTAATGGGTTACTCCAACCACCATGCCCACTTTTGCTTTTTGAAGCCCATTCTGGGCTGCCTAATGAAAATTCTGTGTATAAATTAGTCTGTTTTCAGCATGCACTGAACACTCAGAAAATGGTCCAATCAAAGGCTTCTCTAAAAGAAGCCTTTGATTGGACCTCGGTGTGGCTCCTGTGACTTCTGATGGGTGTGCACAAAGCAGCGCTGGGAACTTTGCCCAGTGCTGGGTTAAGGTAAATTAAACTTTATTTTTTTTTTTTTAAAACACTGTTTTTAGTTTTTTTAGAGGAGGACATACAGAATAATGCCAATAGCATTATTCCATTAACTATCAAAAATTATTGGAGAGAGGGGTGCAGCTAACTGACATCAGACCTGGGTGATAGAACAACTCACTTTGAATCACGCACAGAAGAGCTGTGCACTGCGCACAATGTAGTTGTTTACAAAGTCCAAGCTCTAGTTGAAGAACACCAACAGCTTAAAAGGAAACTAGCTGCTCACGGCATAATAATGTCCACTTAGATCCTAGACCTCTGAAAAGCTCTAATATCTGCCATTAAGGAAGGGGACTGGCTAATGGACAAAGCCCATTGCTTACTCAGGCCTTAACATTTCACAGCAGACACCCCGAGAGATGCAGGGGTGAAATTCCACTACTTCAAAGTCAAAGATGCCAAGCTGGTGACAGCGAGAAAGCTGTAGGAATTGGCAGAACCTTACCAAGACATTCAACTCTTCGCAGATCTCTCAGCTCTCCTGTGCGTGATTCCAACTGTTCGCAGATCTCTCAGCCCTCACAATGGGGAGACGTAGAGAATTTGTCTATGACTCTCAGGAACCACTCCATCCAAGATCGATGGGGCTACCAAGATCTTAATCTGGCGGACCGGTAGAAACAACGTGGTGAATGAGCCGGAGGATGTACTGAAGCTGCTTAGAGAATGGGGACTGTACTACAAGCAAATAACTTTCAAGAACATTGACTCTATTGCAAAGCAAGCACACATTCCATAGGGAGAAGTGATATCCTTTAACTGATTTTAGTTTGAGTTAATATGTGTTCCAATTTATGTTTATGTTTTGCAGCCTGATGTGATATATTATATCATGCATAAGGCTTAATACGCACTGTACAACCTGACCTATCTTCTGTCCACCCCCTGGTTTGGCAGGCCACCAGGGCTTCAGAAAGCTACAAGTTCTATGATAAGTTCAAGGAGTCGACAACTCTTGGCCCTACAGTTCGGTCCCCTCCCTCAGTTGAGTACACTACGAGCTTGCACATAATGCGCGGATTAGCACCTCAACTAAATTTTCAGCCCCTACTCGCTGCATCAAAATGTGTATACTTTGGTTTCCCTCTTATGGGTTTGTTCTCTGTACACCCCCTTTTGTTTTGCTCTCCAATTGCTACTCAGTGGCTGTCTTTATCACCGCTACACCCTTCACTGGAAGCCCAACATATAGGCAAGGAAGGCAGACTCATTATCTTGGGGGGTGCACTAAATGGTCTACAGGTCATGATAGCATCCCTGTACGCCCCTAACAACACACAAAACAACACACAAAAGTTGTATTACGGTGCAGCTCTTAAGAAACTTGACAAAAAAGGCCATACTATACTGTGTGGCGACTTTAACTATATTTTAGACCCAAGACTGGACATTCTGAGAATGAACCACAAACCGCCGAAACAGTCGGCCATATCACTTAGCACACACCTGGCAAACTTGCTGCGTGTACACGTCCTGTATGACACATGATACGATAAGGAATTTTACCTTTTACTCGCAGGCACACATGACATACTCAAGAATTGACCTATGCCTGGTAGAAAAAACCACTCGTGTTAATGTGTCCATATATATCCATCGGACCGATCACATGGTTAGAACATGTTCCAATAACTGTGACTCTACAAATCCCATACCCAGTCAGACGTATACACAAGTCACTACTCAGACAATCTCACTCATCTCAAATCCCAACTAACCATCTACTACTTGACACACGCTAATTGTCCCACTCCCCTGCCAACGCAATGGATGGCACATAAAGTGGTCATGCGCGGTGTGTTAATACAAATAGGGTCCTTGAAGAAAAAGCGACAAAACGAGGCCCAGTCACGGCTCCTCCAACAAATCTCATCTATGGAAACCAGACACAAAGCTAACCCGGCCAGGCAAACTCACACACAATTGGAAAAGTTGAAGGCAGACTTACACTCCTGCACACCACTTAGAAACACATTAGGTATTTGAAACACATTCGGTCTACTGTGTATCTGGCAATAAAGCGGGCAGGCTGCTAGCCAGGAAATTAAAAAATAAATATCTCCAGACTAAGATTCCGTACATCTCCTCTACCAAGGGGGATAAGTTATACAATCCACAAGATATAGTTAAAGAACTAGCGACATATTATGCAAATCTTTACCAACAAGACAGAGATTCTAACACACATCACACTTCACACATCAACCCACCATGGGAGACATTCAAAGCTTTTTAACCCAGATCAGGCTCCCGTGTATCTCCCTAGAACAGAGTAGGCTCCATGGAAGAAGCAATTAGATACCTGCCCAACCTCAAAGCGCCAGGCCCTGATTGATAAATACTATTACATCAAACTGGACACTGAATTAACACCACCCCTCACTAAACACTTCAACCATTTCAAATCCACAGGCCAGATTCCTCGGGAAATGTTGGAAGTGTTTGTCGTGGTGTTGCCCAAACCAAAGACCAATTTCCCTGCTTAACGCCGATGTTAAGCTATATGCCAAACTCCAAGCCAATCGCATCAAAACTCTATTTCCCACATTAATTTCAGACGAATACGAATAAGCCGGGTTTGTCCCAGGGAGGCAAGTAGGCGATAATACTAAGCACTTTATTAATCTAGTTGAATGGGCTAACCAAACTTCTCATCCAGGGATACTAATGGCGTTAGACGCTGAAAAGGCATTTGATCGTTTTAACTGGACATACATGACACAAACCCTATCCACAATGGGTTTCCAACAGCAGTTCCTGACAAGCATTCTGGCCTTGTACCAACAACCGGCAGCTATAGTATTTAACACAGGTTTCCTCTCCTCACACTTTCAGATACGTAATGGCACGCGCCATGGGTGTCCTAACTAACACAAAAATACCCCTTTGACTGGCGCAAGAAATCGTTTTCATATTGAGAGATCAAACGGACCAAATCCCTGCACAAATTACCAAATTACACAAGAAAACCACATGATACAATGGACCGACATGGAGGTATCGTGGATGGGCCGCATTAGTTCAATAAAGATGATGATACTTCCGTACATTCTATACTTTTTTTGAACAATACCTATTACACTACCAAACAAAATGATTAAACAATTTCAGTCTGCGATAAATGCACACATTTGGAGGAGGAAACCCCCACGAATAGTGAGTCGCACCCTAAGCCTCTCCTATTCCAAGGGGGGCTTGGGAATGCCAGATATCAGGCCATTTTTTTTTTTTTACGCAAGGTGTGCGCCTTCTCAATAAACCTACTATGTCAAAGGAACCACTGTGGCAGCCTCTCGAGAATGCTTGTTTACCCCTGAGTAATATGGGATACAAGATATGGGCAAGGGCACCATTACCTCTCACAGGCAGGGAGGGGGGGAACGATTGGAGAAATAATTTAAGTTCAAAATAACCAATCTTGAAACATTCGTTACGTCAGTAATGCTTTCAGTTTGGCTACTCTGGCCTTAAATTGAAATTCACTTTGAATTCTCACTTGTGAATAAACCAGACAGAAAGAAGCAGAAATGGGATGTTAGATTGTGTTTCTTTTTCCCATTTTGACCCCCAATCCCAAACAGGGTTGTTAATTAAAGTGTGAACTATTAGAATTTAAAAGTTAAAATCAAATTCTAGTAAAATATAGCAAAACTGAAAACTGAAAACATGTGACTTGGAGCATTTCCCCCAATTTAGCTTAACTTAAAATGCACTTTGAATTCCTGATATTTAACAGTGTATAAGCCTATCACCCTTATTAAAGTGTTATGCCAAGCACCATTACCACTTCAGTGATTTTAAGGTCATGGTGCATGGAGCTGCATGGAGCCTGTATGTGCAGCATTTTGCTATGAAACGCTACACATAAAGAGTTTAACCCTCTGCTCCAAGAGGGGTAACTCCACCTCCGGCCACATCATTGGGGAACTCTTATCCAAGCAGTTCTATATTCTATATTTGGCATCTGAGGCCACACACGTAGCATATAGTAACACGAAAAAAGTGGGAACCATGTATGGCTCTCTTTTCCTCGTCCATTCAAGGAATTAAAGAGGATTGAATTTGACCGGCCTTTCCTATCGTTTTAACCCGTGGTGGGGTGAGAAGCCTTTTTACACCTGTGTTTGTGAGTGCAATTCTTATAGAGCACACCACTTATTTCACTTTTACTGTATTACGCTATGTAGTGTTTATTATCATTACAGATTTATATTAACACTTAATATTACCCTGGTTCATCTTTCCAGGTTGTATTCAATTTTTATTGTATTTTTTGGGTGTTTTCCCACTTTTTTCGTGTTACTATATGTATATTGGGTGTTTGTGAGGTACACCTGGGTTACACCTAGTCCTTTTTTGTACCACTTAATTGTTAATTAGTAGGTACTATTCTTTTTCCAATTAGTGTGTATATATTGTTCTCTCTGTTCACACACATAGCATGCTGGCGCCAGACAGCCAATGGCAGAAGCCCTCACATGTCCTCCCCCAGCTAGCCTTCCCTGACATCTATCCCCCTTGAGAGGACTGACACCGGCAGAGGAGGATTGGGCTGTAAGGAGAACTAGGCCTTGGAACTGGAACAGAAGATATATTATTTATTTTATATTTTTTTTCGTCATCTATGGGGGCAGGGTGTGACCAGTATGTCTGGTCAAAATGAGTGTTTATTTAAAACACTATTTTTGAGGGTTGAGTAAACCTAATGCATATTAAAGTTTAATTGTTTAGCAGATTCTTCACGCTCCATTACCTGGTAATTGCAAAACTTACTTTAGTTGTTGGGACCATCAAAAGAGTTTTGTAGTACTTCACCCAATCTGCAGTGATTTCAAACATCAGCAAAATTAACAAATGTTCAGGAATATGGTTAGAAAAAAGAAAAAAAATATCCATTCCAAGTTTGTAATATTAAGTTTTAAAAATGTCCAGTTTGTTTTTAAAGGTCCTTTACATAACTATGATTTTTTAAGTCTTGTCTATACAAGTCTAGACAGAGGCAATTGTACAAGTTCTGACAAAAACAAAACCTAGAATTTGAGTTATCTTTCTGTTCAATCATAACTTACCTCTTTCGGGGGGCGTGGCCAGACCGAGCATGTGACAGGACGTGTAGAGACTGAGCTCCTCACCACCTGGCCATTAATAGCCATAATTTATAATAATAGCAATATCATTTCTATGCAGATGACACGCAAATATACCTGTCCTCTCCTGATCTCTCCCTGTCACTCTTGACTATTGTCTCTGACTGCCTCTCTGCTATTTCTAACTGGATGGCTGCCCACTTCCTTAAACTAAACTTGACCAAAACTGAAATTCTGGTCTTTCCTCCCTCAAGTGTTGCTACTCCCATGTCTGTCTCCCTCCAAGTCAACGGTGCTACCATCAGCTCCACCATATAGACTCACTGCCTAGGTGTTCTCTTTGACTCCGACCTCTCCTTCAAACCTCATGTTCAATCTATCGCCAAATCCTGTCATTTCCATCTCAAAAACATTGAGCGCATCCACCCCTACTTAACACCAAAGGCCCTTTCTCGCCTTGACTACTGTAATCCGCTTCTTAGTGGTTTTACGTGCTCCCAACTAGCGCCGTTACAGTCCATAATGAATGCGGCAGCGAGGTTCATCTTCCTGTCCGTCCGCACCTCCCATGCCTCACTCTTCTGTCAGTCCCTACATTGGCTTCCTATAAAATATAGAGCTCAATTTAAAATACTGGTTCTTGCTTTCAAATCGCTACATAATGCTGCTCCCACCTATCTATCCTCCCTTATACACAAGTATGTCCCGCCTAGGCCCTTACAATCTGCTGAAAACTTACGTCTTACATCTTCTGTCCGTACTCCCACCTCTGATGCTCGACTTCAAGATTTCTCGTGGGCTGCACCATTTCTGTGGAACTTGCTTCCCTCCTCCGTTAGATGCTCACCCAGTCTCCACTCCTTCGAAAAATCGTTAAAAACCCACTTCTTCATAAAAGCGTATCAATTAAACTGTTAATAGCTCCTGACTGATTCCTCTTCTGAAACTGTCACTAGTCTAATACCCCCACTGAGACCCCACCACTGACCAGCTGGTAGGCTCATAAGTATGTTGTTAGGGACCATTTCATTAAAATCTGCACTGCGAGAAAGAAAGAACAAGGCAGGCAACTGGTGGAACTACACGTGAGAGTCACCCAACTCGAACAGGAACATAAGTCTACACAATCGGAAGATACCTACCAGGCCCTCCTGGGGGCCCACCGCACCCTGCGACAACTGCTTTCACAGAAACTGTTACACATGCTCCACAAATCCAACAGACACTACTACGAATTTTCTAGCAAATGCAGCCGCATGCCGGCTAGAATGCTGCAACAGAAACGCTGTATGTGCTAAATCACCAAGATCAAAACATGCGGGGGGCCCTTACCCAAATACCCGACAAGATAGTCGGGGAATTCAGGGAGTACTACACCAAACTCTATAACATACCAACTGACACGCAGGAAACCGCAATACAACAGAGACAAATGTGGACGCAGGAGTACTTGAACAACACGTCTCCCGGACCTTAACGCAAGAACAATTGGAGGAGCTTGACTCTCCCATTACAATCTGGGAACTTGCGGAGGCCCTGAAAACCCCCAAACTAAATAAAGCTCCGGGCCCAGATGCCTCCTGGCACTATATTGTAAGACATTCAGGGAGATACTGCTGCCGGAACTGCTGAACGGTCTAAACTCGCTACTGGACAATGGGCAGTTTCCAGGGGGCACCCTCCTGGCAACAAAGCAGCAATACCAAAGGAGGGCAAGGACCCCACTGCATGTGCCAGCTACAGGCCCATCTCCTTACTTAATGCCGACCTCAAACTGTTCACGAACATCTTGACACAACACATAGGCCGCCTGGTTCCATCCCTGGTCCACCCGGACCAAACCGGATTTATTCCAGGTAGGGAGGCAAAGGATAATACTATTAAGGTCCCTACGTCCAATACCACTGTGCCTATTCTAGATCCTACTTACCAATTGCCTTCACTATGAGGTGTGCTTATATGTTTATTACTGCCTGGAGGATCCACATGGAATCTATGGGCGCCAAATATTATATATATAATTTGAGCCTGCTCACAAGGTTACACTTGCATACCGTGCTTACACCTTTAGCAATGGGCTTGGTGGTACTCCCGAATAGTGAGGAGCGGCAGTGCTGTAAAGCATTAGGCACCACCGGTTTCACCCTCACCCCCACATAAGCACATGCCATACTCAGCTGAAAGAGTCCAACCACAGGTCCTTAACCCCGAAATGCCGGCCAACACGTTATTTTTCTGTTAACTGTAACCCCGGAGTCTGCAACATATACTTCAACTGTTTACCTGTATTATGACCAAAGTTAAGACATAACTGATGTACCTGTGTAGGTACCAACAAAGTGAACAGATTACCCTGCTAAGTTTGACCATAACTTTCTATCTCCTTCTACTATAAAAGTTTGTAAACTGGCATTGTTCACTTGTATTATCGTCATTGCACTTCAAAAATAAAGAATGTAAAAAAAAAAAATTATAATAATTTACCTCTTTTATATTAAGTGCACCCACACTTATTATATATAATATATCATTCTAAGTGTATTTTGAGATATAAATTTCAAAATACACAAAAAAAGTAATATTGTATTCCAGCATAGACCTTCTTTTACTTTGCCACTGACACTTACATGTATTGAAGGAGACGTCCATCTTCTTCCCTATTACCTTGTCTGACCATGCAATGATCATGCTCCCACTGTTACCAAATGCCCCTCAATCATTTAACTGGTTCTGGAAACTGAACAAATCGCTACTTGTATCCACGGAGTCACAGACAAAACTTAGGGACATTATTGTCATGTATTTTGAAGTTAATGATACCATTCCCCCCATGACCTTGTGGAACGCATTTCAAATCCATTGTGGTGGTGTAGAGAGCCAAAAAGATTAGAATTGTGTCAATGTCCCAATATTTCTGGACCAGACTGTACTTATCATTAGAACAACATAAAAATTCTCCTTCCACCAACACCCTGACTGAATTAAAATCAATGTTTAATCACAAAATCATCTTCTCACCAAACAAATACTATCAACACAGTAACAAATGTGATATATATATTACCAAAGGACTTAAGCAACATTATCTCTAAAATTTGTTCTTACACTGGACAACTAGTACACAACTCTACTGACCTTGCCAAAGAATTTCAAAAATTATATTCTCATCTGCATAACATACCCTCAAACAGTGACCCTGACTGGTCACCCAACAGTCACCTTAGACAGACCTAAAGAACTGAACAAACTTCTGCTAGCTATTAAACAATCACCACTGAACAAAATCACTGGTCCTGACTATAACGATGCCTTACCTTTCCTCATCAGACCCGCGCTGCATGGCATCCTCTTCCGTGAGCGGCACAGCCCTTCTGACGCCGGCCGCTCACACCGCTCATCTTTTTATAATACGGTGCATGCGTGCTGTAGCCAGCAAGTAAATGCCGACCTAAGTCATTCGTGACCACGCCCCCGGACCTTTTGGGGGCGTGGTTTTAAAGCAATATACCCCACACTATAAAAGGGCATCCCTGTCACTTGTAAGGCGCCCTAGTGTGGTTCTTGTTGGTTCCTCTAGTGCTTATAATCTCCTTAAGTGTTGATTTCCTAGTTTTTTTACTTTTGGCTTTCCCTTTTGACTATTCTGCTCTCTGGTTTCCCGTACTTTGGCTAGGTTCTATCGTTTATTTGTCTTCTGTACTCCCTTGATCTCTGGTTATCCATTTGACTACTCTAAATGTTAGTCCGGCCACTCTAAGGTCCGGTGTACGTTCTTCTCTGGGTTACACTCTGTGAGAAGGGGTCACTGTTGTGACACTGACTGGTTCAGAGTTCATTATTACATTTAACTCTCTATTGTCACCATTCTTTTTTTTTTTTAATTTACTTTATTGGTAGTGGGCTTTATTTCCAGCAGAGAAACAAGGAAAACACCACCACAGAGGTCAACTTCTTATTTAAGGCGAATCAAGATCCCCAGCATTGATTTTATCAACTGACGCCGAAATTACATTTGGTCAGGTGGACTGGACCTTCCTGGAGGGAGCTCTGCGAGGGTTTGGCTTTAGTCCAATGTGGAGGAGATGGATTGGAGTACTGTACTCCTGTCCCATCACTCGAAATCACATAAATGACCTACTCTTGGAGCCAGTATATTTAAGAATGGCACGTGTCAAGGCTGCCTGCTTTCACCCTTGTTATTTGCCTTTTGACTATTAACATTAGAGCCCTTCTTAAACAATAAAAACAGAGAAAAGGCTGCTCCAAGAGGGATAAATAAAACAAATAAATTCTCTACAAATAAAATAGTTGTAAAATGTTTTATAAAAGAGTCCAATTATAGATGGTGTCTCAACTGATGTGGTGTCTTCTTTGTTAATAGTCGTCCGTCTCTCGATATGAAAGACACAATGGGAAAGAACCAATCGTGCAGAGTGTATAAATAAGTAATCGTGAAATTAAAATATAAATTACACACTCACATTTCCATGAGCTAGGACCAGCTCTAGTATGATGCGCATACAGCGGATAACCCTCCACTTGTGGGGGTCCTTGTCCTCCTGCAGAGTGCTGGTGTCCAATTCTCAGGAAAAGAAATAAAAACAGCCAATAGTGCTCTCTGGTGAGGTAGTTAGCAAGAAAAAGTTAAAATAAATAAAATATACTCACAAGTAGAGTGCAGGCCTTTCTGTACTCTATTATTCGCGTGGGTGGTATGATCCCCACCTTAGGATATGCCAGGAACAGTAAATAAGGATAAAATAGTATAAAAAGGTAATATATGTAAAATTATTTATTAATACAATATATTAAAACCAATAACGCGTTTCGCCGTAGAGGCTTTATCAAATTGGAATAGTATTAGTACCTGGCACATAAGGAGTATATATAGCATATACATACATTCAAAATCGGCGCCAAAAAACGATCACCAATCAGGGCTGTACAAAATATAAATAGAGAATACACAAACAAAAGATAGAAAGAGATATCAGCTATGCCTCACTGATGATGCCTAACAAGGCTGAAACGATCGTCTGGGGTTGCTGTATCTCTCGTGCAGAGAGAACTTGCTGGCCTTTCGGATCTGGACTGCCCGTATGCAGGGCCGGATTAACATAGGGGCTGATGGAGCTGCAGCTCCAGGCCCATGGAATAGGCCCATTTAAAAACTACTCTTAGGTTTGCCACCTGACTGGTATTTTAATGGCACAGATGGTTTTTGAGGTAATTTTCTCAGAATAAATGGAAATTACTCTGCAATACCAGCACCAAGGTCACTGTGTGTGGAGAGAGGCAGAGATAGGAAGTTACAGAATATCCCTGCCTCTCTCTACTACTCACTGATCCGCCCAGGGAGCAGCTACACAGCACGGAGAGTCCAGACAGCAGCTCTACAGCTCAGGTAAGTGATGGATGGGGGTAAAGGCAGCAAGAGCACATGGGGACACTTAGACACTAGGGGACATATGGGGACACTGAGACACTAGGACACAGACACTGGGAGACCTGGGAACACTGAGACACTTGGGGACACTGAAAAACATGGGGACACAGACACTTGGGGACACATGGGCATGCTGAGACACATGGGGACGCTGTGAGACATAGGGACATTGGGAGACATTGGGACACGGAGACACCATGTCCCCCAGCCAGTGTCCCTAGTGTCTCAGTGTCCCCAAGTCTCCCAGTGTCTGTGTCCCATGTCTCTGTCTCCCAGTGTCTGTGTCCCAGTGTTCCCATGTCTATGTCCACAACTGTCCCCATGTCTCCCCAAGTGTCTGTCTCCCAGCCAGTGTCCCCTAGTCTCCCAGTATCCCCTAGTCTCACAGTTTCCCCTAGTTTCACAGTGTCTGTGTCCCTAGTGTCTTAGTGTCCCCAAAGGTTTCAGTGTATCCATGTCTCCAAGTGTCTGTGTTCCTAGTGTCTCAGTGTGCCTGGTGTCCCCATGTCTCCCAGTGTCCCTATATGTCACATTGTCCACATGTCTATGTCCACAACTGTCCCCATGTCTCCCAGTGTCCCCAAGTGTCTGTCTCCCAGCAAGTGTCCCCTAGTCTCCCAGTGTCTGTGTTCCCAAGTCTGTGTCCCTAGTGTCTTAGTGTCCCCAAATGTTTCAGTGTCCCCATGTCTCCCAGTGTCTGTGTCCCTAGTGTCTCATTGTCCCCATTTCTCCCAGTTTCCCTAAATGTCTCAGTGTCCCCATGTCTCTGTGTCCCTGGGTCTCTCAGTGTCCCCAGTATCCTAGTGACATGGGGACACACTGAGACATTGGGACACTGGGAGAAATGGGGACACAGATAATGGGAGACTAGGGGACTGGGCGACATGGGGACACTGACACTGTGATACATAGGGACACTGAGACATTGGGTGACTTGCGAGACTGAGACACTGGGAGACAGGGAGACACTGGGAGCAATCTATCTATACAGCAGAATCAAACAGTGAGTAGCTTGTTGGTGATTTTACAGACTTTTCTCTGATGTCACTCCTTGTGATTTACATCATGTGATGTCACGCATAACTAATTAATTATACAAATGATTAAGGCTGGTATTTTTTTCAAAGAAAGGTGGCAACCTTAACTATTCTTCACATACTCTTGCTTAAAGGAGCACTATAGGGTCAGGAACACAATCATGTATTTCTGACCCTATTATGTTAAAACCACCACCCTGGCCCCTTCTTGCCTCCCTAAATATAGTAAAATATTACTTGTATTCAATTCTGCAGCTGCTGGCTCAGAAGTGGTGGTCTGAGCAAATTACAATACTTCCCCATAGGATTGACTGAGACTGTCAACTAGGCAGATCAGGGGCAGAGCCAGCACAAGTCCAACATAGCCCTGGCCAATCAGCATCTCCTCATAAAGATAAATTGAATTAATGCATCTCTATGAGGAAAGTTCAGTGTCTGCATGCAAAGGGTGGAGACCCTGAATGGCAGTGCTGCACACTAGGCAGTACTGCCCCAGGAAGCACCTCTAGCAGCCATCTAAGGAGCGGCCAGTGGAGTTATTTTCTCTGAAAAGACAGTGTTTACTGCAAAAAGCTTGAAGGAAAGGTTCTACTTACCAGAATAAATACAATAAGCTGTAGTTGTTCTGGTGACTATAGTGTCCCTTTAAGTTTGGAAGCTTAAGAGTGATGTATGGGCACAAAACTTGTGTGCACTGGCTGACATTAAAGTTAGTTTAGGTAATGCAGACGTTGGTCTCTCTAACAGTGTGGCATGTCCCCTTTCTTCTACACTCACTACAGACACCTTTTCTCTGTCTCAGACTATATACCAGCTATGCCTCACTGATGATGCCTAACAAGGCTGAAACAATCGTCTGTGGTTGCTGTATCTCTCGTGCAGAGAGAACTTGCTGGCATTTCGGATCTGGACTGCCCGTATGGGTGGGACCAGTCTGATATGCTTCAGATATGTTCTCTCTGTAATTGCACAAGATGAGCAAAAATCAGCTTGAGAACTGAGCGGGCACCGACCGAAGGGCAGGCTATTTCAGCTGCTGCCCGTTCTCAGTATTCTCTTGCGACCCATTTTTGACTCTCCACAAGTTTAAAGGGATAATCCAGACGTGGACCCCTTGCTCACGGTGCCTAGGGAGATATCAGCTATGCCTCACTGATGATGCCTAACAAGGCTGAAACGATCATCTGGGGTTGCTGTATCTCTCGTGCAGAGAGAACTTGCTGGCACAACATAGTGACTTTTCTAACGCACCACAACTTTACTGATCTTTGCTCTGGGTACATAGTACTGAACCACATACCAATTTTTCTCACATGAGTCTCTCTCAGCGCCATCATTGATCTTTACCTCAGACTGCCTGAGAAATTTGTTAGGTTGAGTTGTAAGGATGAAGATACGCTTGTAGAACAGTCCCTTCTTTTAAAAAAACTTTTATGAAAAAAAAAAAAAAAAAGAATAGGTAGAGAAACGATTTAGGGAAGTATGTAAAAAAAACAAGAGAGGAATTATGTATAAAGAAAAAGCTCAAAAATCGTAATGTGAAGAAGTTACTTTTGCGTGTGTTTGAATTCTCAAAGTCATATTTCGAAAAAAATTTTTTAATTAATATTGGCATATTTTAAAACAAAATGAGAATCTAAGGAAGTTTAAAGGTGAAAAACCTAAAGTGGTATACAGAGGAGCAAGCAATCTTCAACAATTTTTTACTAGGAGCTGTATTTTGAAAGAAAAAGTGCAAGAAACATACTTTTTTTGGAACAGAATTAAGAGATTTTATGTGGTATGGTTTGTTATTATTTATTTATTTATTATTGCCATTTATATAGCGCCAACGGATTCCGTAGCGCTTTACAATATTTTGAGAGGGGGGGTGTAACAATAAATAGGACAATTACAAGAAAACTTACAGGAACAATAGGTTGAAGAGGACCCTGCTCAAACGAGCTTACAGACTATTGGAGGTGGGGTATTTGAAACATTAGGACAATAAATATCAAGTAGGAGTGAAGCAGAGCTGGAGGAGAGAGCAAAGCACTGTCCCATAGGAGAGAGCAGGAGACAGGTATGTAAGGTAGAGATTACTCTGGGAGGCCATAAGCTTTCCTGAAGAGATGGGTTTTAAGGCCCTTCTTAAATGATTGAAGACTAGGGAAGAGTCTGATGGCAGTAGGCAAGCTATTCCATATGAGAGGAGCCGCCCGCGAGAGGTCCTGTTACAAATCAGGAAAACCACACGGCCACTTAAAACGAGAATTAGCACATTAGAAATATTAAAAATAAGGTTTTAAATCATTCTGTTTCTGTCCATTTTACCCAAGTCTACAGTGGGAATTTCAGATCACTTAATTTTATTGATGGATAAGCCGTGATTTTAGGAGGAGGGAGGGAGTGACCATTTGAAATATACCGTAATACATAAAAGAGAAATTAATTTCTTTTTTTTTTTAATGGAACTCTGTCTCCAGGACTTTTATACATAATTGCAAATATTAAATACACTCAATACATAATGAAAAAAAGAGATTTCTTCAAATATAATTATAAACTTCTGAATTAAGTATAAATTCAGAAGTTTATAATTATATTTGAAGAAATCTCTTTTTTTCATTATGTATTGAGTGTATTTAATATTTGCAATTATGTATAAAAGTCCCTCTTTATACCACAGTTAAACTTTACAATCCACAGCACAAATATGAAACTGACCTGAGTCATTAGCCCTTCCTCAGGGACGAGCATAATAGGCTGACTCGCACGCGGTTCTGACCTACAATTAAATTAGCCCTACACCACGTGGAGCAGTCAGCCTCAATAACCTAGGCTAGACTATCAGATCAATGCTGAACCCTTCTTATCAAGCAACATTATTTGAAAATTTGTCAACGTACTGTTAAAACTGTGCCTTTGTTACATGCCATGTATATGCCATTTCTTGTTCTTATTCTCTACTTATGTTGACATGGCGACACGAACCTCTGTACCATCTTAAGCACAGATAAATAAAGAATTTAAAAAAAAAAGTCCCTCTTTATTTTTTACATTATGATCTTTGCGTACATTATATCATCGGTCTGGGACTTTCAAAATGGCTGCCGGATATTTTCTGGAGGACCAATTTTAGGACCAATATGGCTGTGGAGGATATAATATGGCCATCACATAATATCCTGTCAAGGTAAACCAGATAGTCAGAACTTCAGCAGGTGAGTGCAGCCGCAAGAAGGCAGAAGGGGCACAGATGTGATGGCATACACCCTTGTAAGTACCAATATGGCAGGCCGTGATTGGTGTAGCTTTTTTTTTTTTTATATCCGGGGATATAATACTTGTAGGGATATCTTATATTTTGAGGTATTATTATGCATGTCCTGGACCTGAGAGGTAATGTTTGTGCTTATGTTGCTGTCCCCTCTTAGATCAAGTGAGGAATGCCCCTGGAATGTGTCACCAGAAACCGCTTGCATTGGGACTTGCATAAAAGGCCTGCTGTGGCTCCCATTAAACCACTTCCAGTTTTACCCTCACACATTGCCTCGTCTTGTGTTTGTAGGGAATGAACAGCGATAACAACTATTTCACTACGTTTTAGGATCATCGCTTTTAGGATCGTTGCAGCTCTACTCAGATTGGGGGAAAAGAACATCTCTGGTGGCGAAACCCCTCTTCCCATCGGGTTGTCTGCCACAGATGCTAACAAACATGTATCACATGAGGACAGATAGCGGAAGACGTTACTAATGCAATAATGTTTTAAGAATTTTTTTCTTTTTTCTAACCATACGCCACAACAAATCTCACTTCTCCCTCCTAACCTGCAAATGTAGAACTTTTTTTTTAAAAGCTATCTTATGTAAGCGCATATCCGGACCTAGACGCACCACAATCATTTATGGCAAGTAATAGTCCTTGTTCCACCACAACGTGACTTTCATATCCAGCAAGCTTTTTAAACCAAGCATGTCAGATTCGCGGTCCACAATTAATATTTTTGCGGCCCAGCGAGCCATGAGTTTGCCATGCTTACTAAAGCAGAGTAGGCGCCTGCTCTTCCCACATTGCAGGTGCCTACTCTGCTAAAATTACCCGGCCGGGAGGAGATGAACTTGGTGGCAGCGAGGGAGCTCAGTCTTCCTGCTCCTCACTGCTCCCTCACGCGCACCCTCTGTCGTGATGCCGGGTGCCGGAATATGACTTCATTACGGCACCCGGCATCACTACACTGTGCGCGTGAGGAGCAGGAAGACTGAGCTTACAAGAGGCCCCTTACCAGCTCACAAAGGTAGGAAGCAATAAATAAAATGATGTGCGTGTGTGCAAGAATGTATAAATGTGTGTGTGTGCACGTGTGTGTGTCTGTCAATAAGTGTGTGTCTGTCAGTAAGTGTGTGTTTGTCAGTGTGTGTGTGTCTGTCTGTCAGTGAGTGTCTGTCAGTGTGTGTCTGTCAGTGTGTGTGTGTGTCTGTCAGAAAGTGTGTGTCTGTCAGTGTGTGTGTCTGTCAGAGAGTGAGTGTGTGTGTGTCTGTCAGTGAGAGTCTCTCAGTGTGTGCTGGTCAGTGTTGCAATGGCTGCGGCTGGACAGTGGATGACCTGGAGGTGCACAGAAGCACGCAACGCCATGTCACATTCCAACGTGAAGTCAACGTGCTCCACCGTCACAGGTTTTCAAGGAGTAGAGGGATGATCCATTTGGCACAGGATGCGGACTGCGCCATTGGGGGTTTACCAGAGGCTGGACTCCTGAGTTGTATACTGGGAGCGGAAAAGTTAGTGGAGTCTGCTTGATGGCTAATATTGTTTTTGTTTTTAGTAGAGGGGGATGCTGGGGTTAAGTAGAGGGGGTGCTGGGATTTAGTATAGAGAGGGGGACTGGATTTAGTATAGCGGGAAGGACCGGGATTTAGAATAAGACAAAAAGATGCAGACTTAAGGGTCAATAGCAGCTTGAATCCAAAGTCCGCAACACAGAAGGACTATGTGGGTAGTAGAGGTCATAAACCCCAAATTAATTAATTATAGAAAAAAGAAAACCTTAGCGGACTAGAACAGTAAAGGGCAAACTGCCGTTCCTCTAATAACCCACTGAGGAGTACCCACAACAGTAAGGGCGACACTGTATAAAATCAAACAATCATTATTAAATAATATTTTAATTTTGTAATAAAAAAGTAGAAGAAAAATAATAATAGTGCAACACACAAACGTGCTAGTGGGATTAAAAAGGAAAAGCTTGATGCAGCCTCAGTAGACCCTTGCATGTATAAATGTAAATGGCTATAGGGCAATGATGATAAATTGGCCTATACCGTCAGACTAATAGCCATATGTCACTAATTAGGGGTATGACTTCAGAGGTTATTAACCAAGCAATAAACGGTAGTTTATCTAGATAGTAAGGGGTTCCACAAAGTGGAATCCCCGAAATTCTGAATGTTACAATCTGTATATATTCAGCATGAAATATAGAGTAAAAATTCAGACCGTCTCTCTTTCCTGTTTAGAAGATATAAAGTATAACAGAGAAGATAAAAAGATTAAGTCCACTCACTATTTCTTAACGACTTGTGATATTCATTAGAGGTTAGATTACTAGGGTGGTCGCAGCTAATATACATACTGGGGTTAAATAAATTCAGTTACAATGTACTGATACTAAATAAATCCCCCAGTGTTACTGCATACGATAACCCAATATGTAATCCTTAAAGTCCTCAAAGTTTATAAATATATACACCTTCAGTGTGTGGTCTTATTATTAGTTCAGACCACACACATCAGGAAGATCTAGTGTTTAAATTCAAAAAATCTCTTTCTGCTAATAGAGAAATGTAGAGTTTAAAAATAGAAACTAAGTAAACTAAGCCAGCCTCCTATGTTCTTAGAAAAATGGTAATGCCCTTCAGAGGGGTAGGCTACTAAGGAAACCGTAGCTAACATAGGATAAAGTCAGTTACTGCATACGGTATATGTAATTCTTAAAATACCTCAAGATATAGTAGGCACACCTTTAGTATGTAGTCTAATAATTTAGACCACAAGTATCTGAGATCAGTCTCTGAGCCTGGTCAGGCAACAAAACAGGGAATCCCCCCTAGAGAAGAGTATCAATCCCCTCTATAAAGCTTAAACGTAACAATCTTAAAGGACCACTCTAGGCACCCAGACCACTTCAGCTTAATGGGTGCCTGGTCCAGCTAGGGTTAACCCATTTTTTTTATAAACATAGCAGTTAAGCCTTCCCCCATTCCCTCTAGCGGCTGTCTCATTGACAGCCGCTAGAGGCGCTTGCGTGATTCTCACTGTGAAAATCAAAGTGAGAGCACGCCAGCGTCCATAGGAAAGCATTGATAATGCTTTCCTATGCGACCGGCTGACTGCGCGTGCAGCTCTTGCCGCGCGTGCGCATTCAGCTGACGGGGAGGAGAGAAGGAGGATCGGAGGAGGAGAGCTCCCTGCCCAGCGCTGGAAAAAGGTACGTTTTTACCCCTTCCAGAGCCCGGCGGGAGGGGGTCCCTGAGGGTGGGGGCACCCTCAGGGCACTATAGTGCCAGGAAAACGAGTATGTTTTCCTGGCACTATAGTGGTCCTTTAAATGTAGCAATCGAACCACTGGCACTATCAAAATGTATCCAAAAGAGGTAACTGTCAAAGAATCATAGTAATAAAGCTACCTAAGTCAATCCTAGAAAGGGGTAAATAGTATATACAATTCGGCTCTTTAAATAAGCCAAGTGAAAACCTTCCTGTCTAGGAAGCAATTGAGGAGAAAAGGGGGTCTATGAAACTGTTACTAAGTGAGCTGGCTAAAGCTACAAAATACTAACATAAAGTCATCCCCAGACCAGCAAGAGGTAACTGAGCTGCAACAAAGACCTAACCTAATGGAAGGACGTCTAACCCGACGCGCGTTTCAGGGTGGGGTGGGGGGAGGAGGAAAGGTGGGGCCCACGGATCAGTTTCGCACCGGGGCCCCATGGATTGTGTGTACGCCACTGATATGGCGTTTAGCATATAGTACACTTTTTTTAATCTTTAGAATACATTGGAGTGTAACGTATGGGTGGACGATAGTAGGGGTATGTATGTTGCCTTTCTTAGGCCTGCACTTGCCTCAATTCACACTCAGATTATGAACAGGACTTCCTTTCCCTTTTCTTTTTTTTTTGTGGTCCTCCATGTATTTAATAAAAGATGAAGGCAGGGCCAGAGCTTGGTATGGCTTGGCAGTCAGTCACATTCTCCTCTTACATGGCACTGGCCTTATGACATTGAGGGTGGTCACGCTGGCTCCTGTAATCACAGGTCGTTCAACTGCCTGGGAGGTAGACGCTGGCCCTTTAAGAACCATCTGGCACTATACTGTGGAGTTACTGGGTGGCCACCATTTCCTGTATCAGAGGCACATGGTGAGAACAATGGATGAAGCACTTGGTGAGAACAATGGATGGCGGCCATTTTAACTCACAGACACTGTTTGGACTTTTCAACACGGTGCCATCTCGCCAGTATTTGGTGCACAGAGACATTGTGCAGTGGTTTTGGACAATACAACAGGGGACACCTTATACAGTAATAGTTTTTCATATAGCCTGCATATGTTCTGTAAAATCTGCATTAAACTGTATCTTCCAAAGTACTGAACGGATCTGGGTGAATTTTGGATATGTGGTTCACCCAGATCCCCCGGTTCCAATGATATACTGATATATTTTTATGGGGTTATTGCATGTTTTGGGGTCCCTGTGATGTGTTTTATGAAACTGTATTTCTCTGTCTGTGATAATTAGATTACCCATTGTGTAAGGTAATTGTATCACAGGCAGAGGGGAGGATTTTGTGTGGGAGTGTCTGAGTGTATTGTACGTGTTATTGGTTGTTCTGTAAAACCCTGTGGGCAGTACTAAGTTTGTGGATTGGGAATAAAAGAGGCTGTATGTGCCAGTCCAGTCAGTTCCTGCTTAACCCTCAAAGTGAAGTGTCGTCTCATTATTGGGGGAGGATTTATTGTATGCTGTTCCAGTTTGACTGCTAGGAGTGTAAACCTATTCGCATGGTTTTCCTATTCAGCTGTATACAACATTCATATGCTTGAGAGCATTCATATGCTCCTACGGTTCGGTGGTTTTGGTGTCTGCTGCAGTGCTTGGAGTCCTCAGGAAGTGCTAGGAGCATCCTCCAACGGAGGTACTCAGTCGGGGTGCCAGGTGATTTGTTACAGTATTGTCAAAAGTAATGTAATTGTATGGATGCTTGTGACTAAGTGACTGCTAAAAAAAGACTGGACCCCATTTGTAATACCTTGGGTTGTCTTCTTTTGCAAATGGTATGCTATCAAGGGGGTAATTCTCATTCCTGGGCTACAACCCAGTCTTAAAAGCAACATAACCAATCTGGCAAATCTTAATGTGTATAAACTGAAAAATGTAATATGCTATATTTGACCTTGTAACTTTCAAAAACCTCATAAAACCTGTACACGAGGGTACTGTTTTACCCACGAGACATCGCTGAATACAAATATGTGTATTTTATTGCAGTAAAATCAAACAGTATTATGACATTCACAGTTAGAATGTCACGTAGAACTAAACATTTTTTAAAAATTCTTATTTTCTCCCATATTTTATATTTTATTCATATTAAATTATGTTTTATACCTAAATATTTGATGTTAACTGAAAGCCATGTTTCCCCTGAATAAAATGATATATAATAAGTGTGGGTGCACATAATATGAAAGAGGTCAATTACGCTTGAACAGACATATAGCGCAAATTCAAGTTTTTGTTTACGTTTTGTTTTGATCACAACGTGTACATTTGGCTCAGTCCTTAAGGGGTTAAAGGACCACTATAGTGTCAGTGCCCCCACCCTCAGGGTCCCCCACCCGCCGGGCTCTAAGGGGAGGAAGGGGTTAAACTTACCTCTTTCTCCAGCACCGGGCGGGGGCTCTCCTCCTCCTCTCCGCCTCCTCGGCTGAATGCGCATGCGCGGCAAGAGCCGCACGCGCATTCAGCCAGTCTCATAGGAAAGCATTCACAATGCTTTCCTATGGACGCTGGCATCTTCTCACTGTGAAAATCATATACAGTAATAGTTTTTCATATAGCCTGCATATGTTCTGTAAAATCGGCATTAAACTGTATCTTCCAAAGTACTGAACGGATCTGGGTGAATTTTGGATATGTTGTTCACCCACATCCCCCGGTTTCAATGATATACTGATATATTTTTATATTTTCATATAGATCAATGTTACTACTGCTTCCTGGCCAAAGGATATGCAATAAACATTTAAGCAGGTCATTGCCATTGGAACACTTTGTATGTATGTTAACGATTCCTCTATGTAACATTTATCGACAGGCAGTCTGACACTAAGAGTTCAGTGTGCTATAACTGGATCTTACCAAACAGGCCTTCAGTCCAGCTGGTCTTCTCTCCATAACTGTCGTTATGAGTTTTCATCTTTATTATTTCAGCCTGCTGTTCGGCAAACGCCACCTAAGAGTTGTGCATATTACAAGTTTAGTAACAAAACATCAAGTTCAAGTAGTGACAATATTTCTATTACAGAGACCCTCCTCTGTTACTATGGATATAAAGCCCTCCAGTGTTCTTTTGTTTTACGTTTATACTTCATTACAGTACAAATATTGTTCTTGCACAACTACAAGCAAATTTATAGACAGGAAGAAAATAATCTGTCAACCAAAAGCACAGAGTTGACATAGATTTCTAAGTCAACTGTCAACTCTCATACAGACTCTCCAGCACATGTGTTGTGCATACTCCATAGTCAGAGCTAACAGGAAGACTGAAGTCACTCTGTTCAGATGCCGATGTGTTGGCAGTACATCTAGTGTCATAGGGGAGGGTTGTCTTGCTTGATGAAGTATCTCCCAAGCATGGTCAATTCTTTCACAGTGCAGGTGGGACTGCAAGTGAGTGCTAAACTATTGTAACACCCAGGGGCGTTTTAGCCGCGAGGCAAACTAGGCATTTGCCTTGGGTGGCATTTTTCAGGGGGCGGCAAAAAACGCCGCCCCCAAATGCCCAAGGCAAATGCCTAGTTAGCATCGCGGCTAACTGACATGCTGGGCGCTGGGCGGGCGGCTGGCGAGGGAGCTCTTCCTCTGAGCGGTCTGCTCAGCTCCCTCAGGGAGATCATGCCAAACTAATCTTATTGATTTTTTTGATTGGGTAACTAAAATAATAGATCGGGGTGGTGCAGTAGACATTGCTTACCTAGATTCCAGTAAGGCTTTTGACACTGTTGCACATAGAAGGCTTATCAATAAACTGTGATCTTTAAGCTTGGATTCTAATATTGTTGAATGGGTAAGGCAGTGGCTGAGTGACAGGCAACAGAGGGTTGTATTCAATGGAGTATATTTGAAGCAGGAAATGCTAGCAGAATGCTTGGTTGTATAGGGAGCGGTATTAGCAGTAGAAAGAGGGAAGTGCTCATCCCATTGTACAGAACACTGGTGAGAACTCACTTGGAGTATTGTACGCAGTACTGGAGACCGTATCTCCAGAAGGATATTGATACCTTAGAGAGAGTTCAGAGAAGGGCTACTAAACTGGTTCATGGAACAAGCAGCTGCTGCCCCAGAAGAAAGACAAGGCTGGAAACAAAAAAGGGCAACCCTTCAGGATGGAGTGTACACCATTAATCTCAAATTCTGCCAACCCAGAAAAATGTATCCAGCAGTGGTTCATGGGGCCCATGGAGCAGCACATTTATCCAAACATAGTTACATGGTTACATAGCTGAAAAGAAACTTGCGTCCATCAAGTTCAGCCATCAAGCAAAGCCACACTATCCTTTCCAACTGATCCAAATTGATCATATCCAAATGCCAAAAAGTGGCCGGTATGAATATGCACTAGTAATAGTGGACATGTTTTCAGGATGGCCAGAAGCTTTCCCAGTTGCTAATATAACTGCCAAGACCACAGCAAATCGTCTACTTACTGAAATTGTCTGCAGATACGGTGTTCCTGAAGTAATAGAAAGTGACCAGGGTACATCCTTCACTGCACTATTGACCAAAGAAATCTGGGCAGCACTGGGGGTGACCCTTGCATTCCACACATCCTACCACTCACAGAGTAGTGGTAAGGTAGAGCGCATGAATGGCACTTTAAAAGCTAGAATGCTTAAGATGGCCCAAGAAACTAACCTATCCTGGCCAGAAAGTCTTCCCATAGCTTTGTTTAGTGTGAGGTACACACCAAGAGGGAAGATAGGCCTATCCCCATATGAAATCTTATTTGGTTCAGCTCCTAGGTTAGGCTGCTACTTTCCTCAACAACTTTAACTCCAGTCAGATACAATGGTTGACTATATAACTGCTCTCTCTCAAGCCTTAACCAAAATCCATGCACAGGTGTTTTCTTCCATTCCAGATCCAGAGTCTGATACAGGCACCCAAAAGTTGCTTCCTGATGATTGGGTTCTGGTCAAGAAATTCCTTAAAAACACGCTCTTGAGCCAAAATTTGATGGCCCTTTCCAAGTCCTCCTAACTACTAGACATGTGCAATTCGTTTCGGTCCAAATATGAATTCGGACGAATTTCGGGCAATTCGGACATTCAGGTACTTCCGAATGTCTGAATTGCCAAAGTGCTGAAGTTCCGAAATTACCGAATTTCCGAAGTGCTGAAGTACAGTATTGCCTAAGTACTAATATACTTACCCAGTGAAAGAAGAAGAATGTTACATTGTATACAATTTTAAATAAAAAGTATACAAACATAGCCAGGATTCAGCTGTAAGCATTTGCAACACTTACATTTTATATGAATGTATGTTACTTGATTGTTGTAAGTTACTTAGCCAGTCAATGGAATGACAGAAATGAATAATTAGATAACTCCCTAATTCCCACGGTATTAGGGAGCTATCTACTAAAAGGCTGAAAGACCTAAATTGGTCTTTCAGCCAAGTTTACTAATACTAATTAAAGATTACTTAGTATTAGTAAACTATGCCCCTACTCGCTATACCGCGAGTAGGGGCATGTCTATTAAACAGTGAGCAGCCCGCGGTGGGTGGGGGCCCTAAATACTAATAAGGGGGGGGGGGGACCTAATGTCCTCCCCACTGGCCCCCACCCCTGAGGCTAGATGGATCTTTAGGCTTAAAACATTACATCCCTTAGGTCTCAATGAGGGGTTTTCTTTTGCCCCTTTCATTTAATTTACCTTTACCTTAATCTAGGGGGGCCTTTTTACTTTATAGTGATCTCGTATGTACTTATTTGTATCTTCTATGGTCATCTTACTTATTTACTTTTTCAACTTTATCTATATATATATATAATATAAAATAATGGTTTTGTCCTTTGGACATTTGGGATATTTGATATATAGAGAATTATTTTGGTCACTACTTTGGTGTCTTTAAACTTTACAAGACCATTGAGTTTACATTATTATGATCTTTTGATCCATGATTGATATATCTTTAACTTTAATTTTATTTGCCTGTTTATTATTACCTTTTTACTGTAGAGTGTTTATGTCCCCTTTCTCCCCCTCTCCATTATTTCCCAGGTTACTCTCTATTACTGACCACTTTCTACATAACCTCTATAGTGTCATTTGATAAATGTATGCTTTAATGAATTTAAGACATTGTGAGTTAATGTGATAGAGCGTTATATGTTCTTCAACAGTCTTCCCTTAGCCTGGTGATATTAATGAGGATGTAGGCATACTGTCGTTTTAAAGTGTGCTGAGCGCATGCATGGCAAGATTGTTACACGCATGGGAGCTTAATGAAGTGGTTCTGGTGTCTATAGCCGATCCCTGCAGGCTTTTTAATGTAAACACACACTGTGTGCAGCACTGGCGTTAGTTCATATGGCAGATCATATGGGTGGGGCATTGTGATGTCACATGGGGGGCGGCAAATTTTTCTTTTGCCTAGGGTGGCAAAAATCCTTGCACCGGCTCTGATCCTGGACAGGTGCACCAGTCTACTCGTGACCCACAGGACTCTAATTGCACTGCACTCTCCTCCTGCCCAGACCTGTCTTTACCGCAGTGCAAGTGCCCTCTGCCCCTAATTTAC